TATATAAAGTACATCAATTGAATTCACCAATGGTACTAAGGTCATTAGATGCGAAAAAAAACTCTTTTCAACCTTGTAAGGATGAAGAAAAACTCCTTGATCCTGAAGTATTATATTTTAGTGCAATCGAAGTACTAATATATCTTGCTTGCAATACACAACCTGATATATCATTGGTTGTAAATTTGTTAATACGATATAGTTTTTTTCCAATTCTAAGACATTGAAATGGAATTAAACATATACTTTGATATCTCCTAGGAACAATGGACAAAGACTTATATTACTTAAATATATTTAAAATCAAATTTAATTGATTATGTTGATAAAGGATATTTATCTTATTCACGTAAAACTCAATCTCAAATAGGTTACTTATTCATATATGGAAGTATGACTATTTCGTGGTGTTTTGTAAAATAAACTATAATTATTACTTCTTTTAACCGTGTAGAAATTTTAGCAATTTATTAGTCAAGTCGTGAATGTGTCCGGTTAAAATCTATAATTCAACACATTCGAGAAATGTATAGCTTGCCAACCAAGAAAGAAATTCTAACAATGTTATTTAAGGATAATACTACTTGGATAGCTCAGTTAAAAGAAAGATATATTAAAAGCGATGCAACAAAACATATTTTATTAAAAATTCTTTTTTATCCATGATCTCTAAAAAAAAAGGTAATATTATTGTTCAACAAATTCATTCAAATAACAATCTAGTAGATTTATTCATCGAAGCTCTTTTATTGCAACATTTGAAAAGTTGGTAAAAAAGATTGAAATGCGTCTTTTAAAAATCTTAAATCATACAATCATTAAGGGGAGTAAAATAGGCATTGCACTCATTTTCTTCATCAAAGTTTTTCCCACTTGATTTTTAATTAAGTGGTATTTCATAAGCATATTTTTGAAAAGAATTATGTACTCTTTTTTCTTCATTCGAATTTTTTCCTATGAGAATTTTTTAGTAAAGTTTTAACAAGATATATTTTTAATATATTGAATATTCAAGAGTGTTATGAATATAATGTATGCATGTCTATTATGTCACAGTACAAGAATTCAAATCGTGCTAGGTAGACGGGACAAGCCAAATAGCTTGATAGGCCAAACATAGGAGTGTAATTTGATTTGAATTCTTATATTCAATTATATATATCTAGATTTAGATATAAATTAGATTGGATTAAAATTTAGATTTAATTTATCTAAATAAAATTTCTTAACGTTATCTTTTATTTTGTAAATTCTATCTAAATAGAAATTATTAATCTATAAATAAGTATCTGACTTCATTTGAAAATATATTCTTTTGAATATGATCCTTTTACTTTATTTATACTTTTTTCTAGTAAATGTTCTTTTAGATTGTATTTCACAACATATATTTATTTTTCAGTTTAGCTGTTTTTAACGTAAAGATACATGGAATCTACCATTTCTTTGTTGGCATAATTATATGAGACCCAAGCCCGTTAGAGAAGCAATTTCGATGAGGTCCAATCCAGGTTTCTCATTATACTAAGGGAGCCACATAGTTTCTCGTTAAAGCACAATTTCAGACGCACAAGCAGCCCAATTATTGGGTTGAAAATTTTTTTCTCTCAGCCACATTTACCGTCATTTTCCTCTAGAACAAAGCTTTAATTTGATATATAATGTCCAAATCTCCTGTACACAAACATTGAAAGGGTGGTTTGATTTCCTAGGAAAATCTGATATTAACGTGGGCATTGTTTTTTTTCAAACTTGAGCCTCCAAGGACACACTGAATTTTCTTTTCCTTTTCATTGTTTTTATGAAACTTTACCACATCAACAGAAGATGTTCAGTAAAGGATTTTCTCTTGCTCTGTCTCATTTTCTGGAATCACAAATTTCTGTATAAATCATTTATAAAGTGGTAATGGGTCCTCAAAAATTTCTTTTTTCCATTCAGATTTTTTTTTTTGCAATTCATTCAATTTTTCTTTGTTAGCTTTTCCAAAGGCGCACCTTCCATTGTAATTGTATCATTTCCATGGGAAACCCCCATTATGTATCAGGGTTGCACCTGCAAAAAAGCCCCTTTTTTCAATAATGCGACTTTAAGCCTTTACTAATCTTCCCCTCTAATCTTCTGCGGGACATACCGTTGTCTCCCACCAAGTAAAAGGTTTTATTATTAATTAGTTTTGCTAAGTTTCATGCATATATTAATACTAGGTCTGTGATGATAGGTTCATTCTTGTCATCATATATTCTCAACTCTTTCCTTGTTTTTGTTTGCACTTAATCTTGATTACAGTGCTTATACATTAGTTTAAATTTTCCAGTTAGGTACGACGAAACGAAATATATTGATCTTCATGTGCGCATGCAACGTTCGAACAAAATTTAGTGATGTAAGTTTGAAGCATGTACTTATATGCATAGGATCATTAGGTTATTTTGTATGTCTTAATCAGTTTTTAATCGTATATATAATTGTAATATAGTAATTAGAAAGGTAATCAACAAAGCACGAGTGTCTAATCAAGCTTTGATCAAAAAGCTAAACCGCCTTGATCAAGCTTCCTAAGAAGGGGTCCCTCGTGGATTCTTTTGTCCTATTTGATGTTTTAGAAATGATGAACACCATTTATATTTTATTCCAAACCTCCTTTAGTTTAATTCTAGCGTAGAGTTGTACTACAGTGGTGTGAAGTTGGTGATGTCTTTGGCCTCTTGTCATTCTCTGCTACTTATTTGTATGGAATATAGTATTTGATATTTCAATGGGAAGCTTTAAAAATTCTTAATTATAATTAATTATTAATAATTTTTGGTAGAGAAAAAGACTTGAAAGTTTGTAATAATTAAAAGAAGCTTGCCAAGGATTGATGAAGAATTGCAGATACCCCAAATCAGACCTAATAATGATTTTTTTAAAAATAATTATTGCGTTAAATCAAGGGAATGGCCTCTTCCCAGCATCATTGGTTATAATGTTTGTGGCATGGCAAATGGAACAAATGATAGACCTCAACCAAAACATGTGGGCGCACACTGGGAAGCATTCTAAAAACCTGGCACAATATATATATATATATATATATATATATATATCTTGGTAATCATTTCGGATACTAAGATATCTTGGTATAATTTGGTATGCACATTAGGAAGATTTCTAATAATAATGGGACTAAGGATTATAACAATAATTGTCCTACGATGGCCAAAATTAACGAACTCAAAGTTTTTCATATTTAAAAAATTTCTACAGTCAAAAAGATTGTATTATCGGTATATGCTCATCTTTGAAATTTAATTATGTACACAGCTTTTACCCTTTTCAACACCTAATTAAGAGCTGTTTACTTACATCAAAGCCAAGATGCTTAGCTACTACTTTATTATCATCATTTCCGCACTACCACTAAATGATTATACTAATTAAAACTTTATTCCTGGTAGCACTGCCACAAGAAAGGGAAAAAGGATGAGCAAAAGGGTATTTAGAGAATGGCATATGATCCTCCCCAGGAATTGATGTTTAACAAGTTTTGTTGAAATTCCTGCATAAGTCGAATAATCAAAAAGCATTTTGTCATAAGGGTTCCATAGTTGTGATGTTCAAAAAGCAACATACAAGTAATGGGTATGTCTAGTTATGGAAATGCGACAAAAGAATATGCCAATATCAATCCTACAAAAAATACAGCACCCCCGAAACCCCAAAAAAATGAAGCAAAGGAACAGTAAATTCTACGGATCAAGTAGAGTGCTTGGCAGTGAAACTTTGTTTCCCAATCACAGTATTTAGGTAGGAATGAAGAAATTCAGATGAAAGAATGAAAAATTAGTTGTTTTATCTAATAAATTAAAGTTGAGGTATGCAATAAGATTACAAGTAGCATGGCTCAAAACTACACTATAGTAGTATTAAATAAACTATACTATAGTACTTTGTCTTCGTTCTAAATGTCTATTTTTTGAAACGAGCTTTTTTATGGGGAGAAAGTGAAAAGAAAAGAAAGATGGTAAAAGTTAAATGAAAAAATAAAGTACATTAAAAGTCATTAATTTAATAAAAACTTAGTACTCGTCAGTAACTGGTGGTGGAAATTTAATTGTGGATATAACTTTCTTTGGCAAAAGTTATTCTTGAAAAATATGAAACGAAAAATTAATCTTTGATTCCCTTTTCTTTTCAAAAAATAATAGCAAGATGTCAAAAGGTTTGGACAGATATCAGCTCTAAGTCTACAAGCTGTGAAAGAAATTCCTAGTTTCATTGGAAATGATGCTGTCATTGAGTTTTGGGTAACGTTAAAAATATTCCATTTTGACATGATGTCTGGATGGATGCTAGGCTTTTGAAAGATCTATTTACTAAAGTGTTCCAACTAGCAATAAATAAAAATGAAAAGGTGCAGGATTATTTGTTAAGTTCCAGTTGGTAGATTGTGTTTAGAAGAGCGTTGTTTGAGTGGGAAACTGACTGTCTTGAACAGCTGCCAACCATTGTAAGTGAGGTATGCTTGATTAGAAATAGGGAGGATAGGTTGATTTGGATATTTCTTGAGCATAAAACCTTTTCGTTTAGGAAACTTTCTTTTGCCGTTAACAGTAATTGTGAGGCTGGGTATGACAACATCTTTTTAACAGAGTGGAGTCTCCAATACCTCCCAAGGTGCAATGTTTCCTATAGTTGGCTAACTTGGACTGCATTCCCACAAAAAAATTTCTGATTTCTAGGGGGGTGGATATCTATGTTGGAGGAACGTAGCTTATGTCCCCGGTGTCATGCCTTCATTGAAGATTTTAATCACCGGCCTATTAGTTGTCATTGGAGTTGGATTTTTTTGGGTAAAATCTTGAAATGGTGGCATGGGTGTGGTCATCTGACTTCCTAATTCAGTTCAATTCATTATGCAACAATGTGATACTTTAGTAAGGCAGCTGAAGTGCAAGAAATGATGGTTTTTGGTTTACGATGCTACTTTATGCTCTCTTTGGAGGGCTAATGAGGTAATGCTTGAAGGAAAAAGGTGGGATATAAATGACTTTGCAGCATTGGTTAAACTTCGATCTCTTTATTGGATTAAGGTAGTAAGGGATGACAATATGGTGTGTTGACACAGAATTACCTCAAAGCCACATTCATCAGAGTATCCAGTCTGCTTCCCTCCAAACTGATTCTCTCAAGTTTAATATCGATGCTTTCGCCAGAGGAAAGCCAAGTTCTTCCAGATGTGATGGCATGTTGAGAAACTCTGGAAGTATTATTCTTTCTATATTTCATTAATAAACTGAAAATGAATTTTTCCTTCTAACTAGTACATCAGCAAAAAAAAATCCAATATAAAAACCAGAGTAATTAGTCAGTATACTTGGATTCCAAATCAGTATATCCCAATAACCCCACAAAAAGAATCAATTAATCGTCCTTTTTGAATTACCCTGCGTCATACTATACAAAAGATCAACCTAATCTCAAATAAATCTCTAATCATGGTTGTTCTTTGGATTTTAAATTATTGCAAAAGATCCTAAAAGTTATGAAGGTTTTTTGAATGAATTGACATGTTACATGATATTAAAACATTTTCAGAAAAGCAAATCATTGTGCTCACTGTCTTGCAAAAATGGACTTGGACAGAAACGAAAATATTTGTGGCATTATGTTGATTTGATGATATTTTCTCGGAACTGATGTTTTTTAGTTATATGATGGGGAAGACTTGGAGGATGGTCTTGATCTTGATCTTGATAGTGCTGGACTGCTGGGTCTTAAATTTCAAGCTTTTCAAGTGTACGTATATTAATCTTTGTATTAGTATTGTTTTGTTTTAGTGTTCCGATTGTTATATTATTTTATAACAAGATTAGTTTCTTATTAGATCGTTTTTGTATCCTATGATATCTATTAATATTAAATTTTTAGTTTAATAAAACAAAAATTAAAACAAATTCTCAATTCTTGTACTCTTTCCATCCATCTTATCAAATGAAATACTTTTTGATTTGTAGAACAAAAACACAATATTTTGTTCGTTACACATCTCTTCAGTCTGTCGCAGCTGTTTCTGTCTGACTATAGCCAGTTTCATTACGTTAACAAATTAAGGGGAAGCGACATGCAGCTCCCCAAAGCCCTAGAATACAAAGAGGAGGCTAGCCCCTTTGTAAACAAACTCCGCTTTCTTAACTTCGCAATGCTAATTAAAGAAGGAGCTACCTTATACACAATCAAGTGCCTGCTTTGGTTTTTTTTTTCTTTTCTCTCTACTTTTCTTTTGGTGTGACTGAAATCGGATGCTTTGTAGTTTTAACCCACTGGACTAAGTGAATTTAGCCTAATGAAATGATAGCTTACTCAGTAAAAATCCTTGTTCTCTGTATTCTGCAGCCGCACAATCCCACCCAGAGTGCAGTGACATGGATCAGGTCAGTACAGTGTTAGCTATTTGCAATTAGATTATTGAGAACCCAAGTTTGTACGTATGTTATTTCATATCGTGACCATTCATCAAAATAGTATGATTTGGAAAAAGAAGAATCGTTCCTATAGAGGAAAATACTCAATGCGTATATTAACAAAAAAAGACCTCCCATTTGGAATCAAAGCTTAGCAATCTGCATCCGGAAATATGAGTTCCACAGAAAGTGGAGTCAAGATTCGGAGATGGATGCTGAATCATCTGCTACACATGGCTCATGCTACTGCTAGGTTCTGATAATGGCCACTAACGATGGTCTGAAATCTTCCTTAAAATCAAGGTAGAAATACAACCCTGAATCTTTGGAAACTATGAAAGTTTTATGTTCTGATAAAGGTGATGGCGTTTCTGTAAGTTGACTGTGTAGCATTCCCCTGCGCTGTGATACATCCAAACACATAAGGTAAAGAATATTTACTTTTCAAAAAAAAAAAAAGGTGGAGAATATTTGATCTCATCGAGTCAACTGCTGAGCCTTATAGGCAAAGCCTTTCCAAAAGAGTGAGGGAGGGGTAGTGATCTACTGGGAATGACCTTCCCTCAATTGGGCGATTCTTGATATACTGCAGAATCTGTAAAGCTCCAAGTGTTGTGCACAGCAATTGAATTTATAAATTGGTTGCAGGGACAACTTGCGATTAATGTCACAGTCAGTTCTTTATTTCTTTTGGTAAAAGCACAAAATATACCTCTGGATATAGTAACTCAACTCACTTCTCCACACACCTGGCTACAATCTCTGATGCTTGATATCTGTACAGCATCTTCTTTTTGTAAATATTCAGAAAATTTAGGAGAAGGAACATGAATTTATAGCTGTGAATTGGAAAGAATTTTCTCACATAGGCGATTACATTTATGACTATTGAAAAGGGTCTGAGAGCAATAGGGGGTTGACGTCGGAGCAGTGTTAAGACACTGAGACTTTGTGAAGACTCTGGGATGGTGTGAAACATCAATTGTAATAAAGTTAGAAATCCCACTAAGGTGAACACTAATTTTAACGAAATTAAAAAATCTCATTAAGGTGAATAATAGTTAAAATCTCACTTTGGTTAACCAAACCAAAAATACTAAAATTTTTTATTCTTCTAAAAGTAGCTTATAAAAAATAAGCAATTTTACTTATTAAAGAAAATATTATTTATTAATTTTCAACTTTAATGCGTCTAACAACTAAGTCAAGAAAGTTTTATATAACTATTTTTAATGAAGAGAGTCTTTTAACTTTTTCATGTGAGATTATTACAATTTTAAAAAAATAAAAATAAAAAAATAACTTAACTTAAACTTCCTTTGAGTACAAGTAAAAGAAAAGATAACTCAGTCTAACTTAACTTAATATGCAAGTAATTTAAATAATATACTACTGTATCATTCTTCTTAAATTAGAGAAAAATTACCTTTGAGATTCGTGTCTTCTTTGTCTTCTCCATAGTAAGGAGAGAGATTAGTTACATTGAAGATAGACACTTCATAATCTCCAAGAAATTTGATCTTATAAGCATTCTTATTAATACATTTGAAGACTCGAAATGGTCCATTAACTCGAGGAGATAATTTGTATAAGACTTAGGAAAATATTCTTTCCTTAAATGAATCCACACTAAGTCCCCTTCTTTAAAACTAATTGACTTTTTGTGGTTGTTGGCTTGCTTTTTGTATCTGATAGTTTGACGAATAATCTTTTTTCGAACTAGAGCTTTTTGATTTGCTTAGCACTCTCCTTAACATCAATATTAAATTCACAAGTAGTTGGTAATGTAGGAAAGTCCAAAAGACTAAGAGAGCGTTTTTTATATATTACTTCAAATAGATATTTTTTAGTGGTTTGGCTCACAGAATTATTATAAGATAATGTCGCTTGTGCTAACACAAGGACTCATTGGCTAATATGTTTGCCCATAAAGCTTCTCAATAAGTTTTTCAAAATTTTGTTGACCACTTTTGTTTGACCATCCCCTTGAGTGTAACTTGTTGAACTAAACTGCAAATGAGTTCCCATTTTCATCTAAAGAGTTCACAAAAAATGACTCATGAACTTCACATCTCTATCTGAAGTGATGTTTTTTGAAATTCCATGAACATGTATAATTTCTTTGAAATACAAATAAGTTATGTAAGAAGCATCATCTGTTTTATGGAATAGTATAAAATGAGTCATTTTGAAAAATCTGTAGATAACCACCATTACAGAGTCTTTTTACCTTTGAGTTTTTACAAACCCAAAACAAAATTCATACTCACATCTACCTTTAGAGCTTTAGGAATGAATAACGTTTTATACGTACCAGTGTTTTGATTTCCAAGCTTGGTAGTGTGGAAAATGTGACACCTTTGAATATGTTCGATGACATCTCATTCCAACTTTAACTCATAAAATTTTTCTTTCACAAAAGCCAACGTTTTGTCTCTCCCAAAGAATCCAGCTAGTCCTCCATTATAAGCATCCCAAATAATAGATTGGTGTAAAGAATATTGAGAGATGCACAATTAGTTACCTTTGAAAAGATATCTTTCTTGTTGGTGAAATTGTCAATAAGGATGTTAAGAACTGGACTTCCATATCTCACCAAATTTAGGATATTTCTCATAAAATGCTTCCACAATTTCAAAATCAACAACCTTTAATTATAAGGTAGAGAGAAGAGTAAGGCAATGACTTAACGCATCAACTACCTTGTTGTGCACACCTGACTTGTACTTGAGGAGAATTGGAAAAGCTTGAAAAAACTCACTTCAAGTTGCATGTCTACAATTAAGCTTGTGTTGGAAGTTGATATGTTTGAGAGCTTTGGGGGCAGAATACAAGACGAATTCCTTTAGCAATAAATAGTTGCTCCAATAGTCTAAGGCTCGAATAACGGCATAAAACTCTTTACCATACATTGAGTATTTCAACTTTACATCATTGAGTTTCTCATTAAAAAAGGCAATTGGTCATCCCTCTTAAGATAAAACAATACCAATACTTACATTGGAGGCATCACAATCAACTTCAAACACCAAATCAAAATTTGAAAGTGCAGGCACGAAAATCTTAGTAATCTTTTCTTTCAATTCCTCAAAGCTATGTTGTGGTTTGATACTCCATATAAAATTATCTTGGTTAAGGCATTCAGTAAGTAGAGCAGTAATAGAATTGAAATTTTTTATGAAACGTCGATAAAAAGAGGTCAATCCATGAGACCTTCGAACATTATCTCCAAAAGATAACTGGAACTGGCCAGTTGATAATAGCATCAACTTTTACTTTGATCCACTTCAATTCCTTAGCTTGACACAATATATCTCAAAAAGATAACTTTGTTTGTCATAAATTCACACTTCTTTAAATTAGCAAAAAACTTTTGCTCTCGTAGTACTTCAAAGATTTACCATAAATGTTTCAAATGCTTCTTCTAACTTTTACTATATACCAAAATATTATCAAAATAAATCACAACAAACTTCCTAATAAAAGGATAGAATACCTAGTTCATTAAGAGCATAAAGGTGATGGGTGCATTAGAGAGGCCAAATGGTATAACTATCTATTCATATAACCCATCACAAGTTTTAAATGCAATTTTTCATTTATCTCCAAGTCACATTTGAATTTGGTGATAACCATTACGCAGATTAATCTTGGAGAAAATAATAGCACCATGTAATTGATCCAACAAATCATCAAGTTTAGGAATGGAAAAACAATACTTGATGGTGATTTTGTTCATGGCAGTACTATCAATGTACATACACCGTGTTCCATCTTTTTTTTGGAACTAATAAAGTAGGAACAGCACAGGGGCTAACACTTTCTCTTACTAGGCTTTTCTTTAAAAATTGTTTGATTTGACATTATAACTTCTTATGCTCTTGTGGACTTATGCGATAAGTAGTTTATTTGGAATTACAGAATTAAGAATGTAATTGATAGCATGCTAGATATCTCACATTGGTAGTAATTCGTAGGGTATCTCATTAGGTACAACATCACAAAACTGCTCAATTGTGGGCTTGACATCTTTAAGTAAGATATAGATACTATATTCTCCTCACAAACTAATAAGAGGTATAAAAGATTTGACTCACGATAAGCACTTTTTAGGTGAGACACAAAGATAAGTGCTTTATCTTTCTTTTGTCTCTTTGGATGATCTTCAGGCTTTAGTGGAGTAAACATAATTTTTACTCTATCCGTGATGAAGCAATAAGTATTCTTGTATCCATCATGGTGAGCTTGATGATCATATTACCATGGGCATCTCAAAAACAGATGGCATGCATCCATTGGGATAACATCATACCAGACTTCATCTTGATACTTATTTGTAATAGAGAATTGAACACAATAATGCTTCTTTACCTTAACTTCATTTCCTTTTCTCAACCATTGTAGCTTGTATGGATGAGGGTGTGTCTCAGTTAAAAGCTTCAACTTTTCCACTATGTAGTCGACAACAACGTTCTCACAGCTTTCATTATTAATAATGATATTGTAAATCTTCCCGTAGGATGTGTACCTTGTATAAAAGATGTTGTGATTAAACCAACTTTCATCTTTAATCATCATAGCAGTGTTGAGGTTACGACAAATAACAAGAGTTTCTCCATGATCAACAATTACTTATTCTGTCTTATCTTCATTGAATATTTCTAGTTCTTCTTCTACTTCTTCCATAATAGGTTCTTCCATAACTTCTTCTTTTACTAAGAAAATAATTCTTCGAATTGGACAATCAGAAATAATATGCCCAAATCCTTGATATTTGAAACAGTTATTGTTGACTTTAGCAGCATAAGTAGAAATAGTTTCTTTATCATTATTGCTTGTGGTTTTGAAAGAGTTTATTTTTAGAAGTAGAATGGTTACCAAACTTTGTCTCTCATGGTTTGAGGTAGAATCTTTTTGCCTAAATAAACTTATTGAGCTTTTTCACAATCATTGTTTCTCAGCCTTTAATGCTAATCTGATGACACCATTTAAGTTCCAATATAGTTGTAGTGGAATAACATATGCAATTTCAACATTGAGACCTCCAAGATAACGAGCTATAATTTGTTCTTCAGGTTCTTGGACATTGCACTTCATGTGAAGTTGCTCAAACTTCATTGTATATTCTTCCACTAATATTGCTCTCTGTCTCTAGTTATGAAATTTAATAAAACTTTTTTGTTCATAGTGCTCAAGAAGGAACTTACACTTGAGTTCTCGACGCATCTGATCCCATATTCTGATCGTGTTATGACCTTCCTTTTCTCATTGTTGTTTGAGATTTTCCCACCAGATAGAGGTGTGCTTCTTCAATTTAATTACAACAAGCTTCATATATTTTTTAGCAAGAACATCTTTGAGCTCGAAAAGTTTTTCCGCTATGTAGAGCTAGTTAAGATAATCATTTGGGTGAAGCCTTCATTTAAATTTAAGAATGCCTTGATTCTCAAATCTCTATGAGCAACAATTTTTAGATGACGTATAAGTACTTCTTCATCAGAAGACAATTCTTAATGGAAATGATGGGTACTATTCGCTTTATCATTACAGCTACTGTTGTTGATTTGAGCAGCATCACGTCTTGTGAGTTGCTTATGTAATTATTGAACTTGATGACATAATTCCATTACCTTAATCTCATGAACATCTCTTTGACGATTTTGACATCATGGTGGCATTTTGGTGGCTCAACTAAGAATAGCAATTATGACAATGGTGACATGACGAGAACATGGTAATGACAATGGGGTGATGCAGAAAAAAATTGATAATAGAACTATAAAGCAATAACCAAACAAAACTACCCAAACAGGGAGAGTCGAAACCTGGCAAGGAACCCAAACTATGCAGCGAACAATGATCTTTCTGCTCTGATACCAAATTGATGTCGGAGCTTTATGAAACACCAATCGTGGCGAAATTGGAAACCCCACTAAGGTGAATACTAATCTTGACGATGTTAGAAAACCCCACTAATGTGAATAATGGTTAAAATTTCACTTTGATTGGCTAAACAAAAAATACTAAAATCTCTTACTCTTTTAAAAAGAGCTTAGAGAAAATAAACACTCCTATTTATTAAAAAAAATTCAAATATTATTTATTAGTTCTCAACTTGAATGTGTTTAACAATTAAACCAAGAGTGTTTTACATAACTATTCCTAAAAAGAGAGTTTTTTAACTTTTCTATGTGAGATTATTAAAATTTTTAAATAAATAAATAAAAATCTAATCTAAATGTTTTTAGAATACAAGTAAATAGAAGATAACCTAATCTAACATAATTTAATGTACAAATAACCTAAATAATATATTCATGTATCAGAGGCTAGGGGTCAACGTAAGGAATATTTAGGCATATGCAAGTATCTTGCGTCGAAGCTCCTTCACATATCATGCTTTACATATAAGGTCAGTGACTTAATTTGCTTCATATTGTAAATTAAACATTTTGTCCAAAAATTATTTAAACATTCTTAAGAGATTGGGACCATATATAGTACATAACCTTTAAGAGCATGACGAAACAATTAATGGTCATAAAAGGAACTCGAAAGTCAATTATTTAGAGACAGACTTTACTAATACTTCTAAATAGTTTAGTTGGCACGAGTTTTGTCTTGAAAATACCAAAACTGAAGAGAATTAAAGCAAAAGGTAGGAAAGCATAACAGCTTTCTTTTACTGCATGCTCCATTAGAAAAGTTTTTGGAGAAAGGAAACGTGGTATCAGAAAGATACTGTTCGTTACATTTTTTTTTATCATGTCTGAAACAAGATTGCAAGGTGTGGATGGGAAGGGATTCTCCCACAATTGTGGGCATTATGGTGAAGCATTTGGCTTGTTCTCTGCCTTCAAAGGACAATGAATAGTGGACTGTGTCTCAAGGAAATGGGGACTTGGCAGCTGAAATAGTCTACTTATATTCTCATTTTACATCCCACTATGTGTTTCAAAACAAATTTTTGCAGGATCCGTAAATGATTGGGGATGTGTACAGTAATGAGTAGTTTACACTGGTTTTTGAACAATTTGTACATAAAAGCAGGAGGAAAAAAATTTGTCAAAACCTCCCTTTCAAGTGTTATGATATTGTTAGGAAGTAAGGAAAACGATGATTACTATTAGTAAGCCATCTTCCTTATAACTACCATGATTTTACAAATATTTAATTGATACCAAATTTGATTAATTGGTTAATAACTAACGCAGTACATATAATAATTGCATTACTTAAGACCCAAATATTTTACAAGATTTTCACCTTTCTCTTAGTACAATTCAAAATGAGATTGGAGGTGGATACATTTTAATAGTTTAGGTTGCATTGTCAACTTGAACTTAGTTTAAGTTTTTCATATTGAAATCATTAAGAGATGAGTAAAAATTCGTACAAAAATTATTCTAAATTATTTAAATTGTGATATGTATATTCTCGTAAAAATAGAATAGATATACATTTCCATATATTATATATATACGTTAGTTTTTCAATACAAGTTGAAATGAAGGGGAAGGATTTTTTATCTTACATTTTAGATTGATGCACAGTGCTTATAGGCCCCCTTTTCTCTGCTGATGTTTACCAGAACATATGGTACCATTTGAAAGAATTGACACTTTCTCTTTTTGGACCATTTAGGCAGTTGGCATAGTCAATTGATATAGAAAAAAGTTCATAGAAAAGATTTGAAAAATCCAATCATCAAAATGGAAACCTATAGCTACCAAAAATCTTAATCTCTATTAATGATAAACAC